TTGCGCGATTTGCGCGATTCACGCGACGGGTCACGGAAATCACAAGTGCCCGATCAATACTGCAAGGTGTTCTCCAATCCTGCCGCCACTTCTGCTTGATAGTGATGGCTGAATGACGACTGCTCATGATTCCACTTGTTTCATATTCAGTGTTTCAAATGTTCACAAATGGGGCACTTGCAATTTTTGCGATCCGTCGCAGGTTTCGCGATTTTCGCGATTTGCGCGATTCACGCGACGGGTCACGGAAATCACAAGTGCCCGATCAATACTGCAAGGTGTTCTCCAATCCGCCACTTCTGCTTGATAGTGATGGCTGAATGACGACTGCTCATGATTCCACTTGTTTCATATTCAGTGTTTCAAATGTTCAAATGGGGCACTTGCAATTTTTGCGATCCGTCGCAGGTTTCGCGCAAATCGCGCAAATCGCGAAAATCAGCGAAACCTGCGACGGATCGCGGACTCTGACACAAGCCTCAGTTCACCGCCATGCCCCTTGCTCCCCTTCTCCTCGAACTGCGTTCGCGCCCAACTTCAATACGAAACAGCGGTCATCTTTTGACCATCATGTAAAATGTAATTTTCTTGAGTGTTTCTTGACAGCGGCACAACTCTTACTGATCAAATCCGAATAGAAAGTAATAGTGCAAAGATTCTCGATGTGATCTTTTCTTTTTTTTCAATTTCAGGATGCAACTCGCCACTGCACGACAACAGAATGTGCACAGTGAAGAAGAGAATATGGCTGCGAAAGGTATTCATATTACGAAGATTGATCCAAATGTAACCGCTGATTCACGCTCGTTGGTTGTTTAGGAAAGAAACAAATAGTCAACACTCCACGGCACGCTCTGGGAAATGTGAAAAATATGGTATGTTTTTGAGCCGAATAAGTTGTATATTTTACGGTTTACGGACTACTTGATTTTTCCTCAATGGTCCTGCCGCGATGGCTAGAGCACAGACGATTAGAGAACGGGTGAATGCCCTAGGACTAAGCCTTGGAGAGGAGAGGGACCCGCGAGAGAGCGCAGAGGGTTTAAAGGGCTGAGTTCAAGTAGTCCGTCGACCATGGCGCACAATTTCGACCAGTTGTGGGCATGACGCCGCGTAATGGATGACCTACTGCTATATACCGAGAAAAGATGTTCAAATGATTGGGAGTATTGAAACGAAACCAGTCTATTGCCAGATGATATCGAAGCGAGTGTCTCACACGACAAACAGGAATGGCTTAACTTTTTGGCCCATGTATACTCCATATCTTGAAGTCTGATTAGGCGTGTCCATGGGTTTGACGTGGCGGCCACCGCACTTGATAGAAGTTGCGCGGATAAGCTGCTTCCAGAACGCTTTGCTGATATCCTGCGGTATGTTAGAAAAAGCTTTTCCACACGGATTGTATTAAGGGGCGACGGCCACAGACATGCCTAATCTGACTGCGAGATATGACAATTTCTAGACATATCACGCTATCATTTTAGGATATGGGGAGAGGGTGGAGTGATTTTCATAAGTCCGGCAGGGTAGTACTCACCATGGTCATCGAATAAATTCTGTTCACATAGACGTACGGATAATACGCTATCTTTCTCAATAGGTGTGCCAAACGACAGGTCTATCAGTAATAATTAATTCTGGTATTATTTAACACGTTGACGACAGCATGACGCGCATGCGCGTCAGGATTTTACCCGATTCTGGCTAGTTTTCCATTGAGGAAAATTAAGTAGTCCGTAAACCGTAGCTTGGTAGCACTCACACGTATAACGTTGAGCCGGTCGGCAATGACCGCGAGGCTGAAAGCTTTAGCAATGAATTTTGACTTGTTTTTGTTTGTTAACTGCTGTTTTTGGCCGCAGTTCGCCTTGCGAATGTTTCACAAGAATGCTGGGTTGTGAACAAAACTTTCGCCCCAGGCGGGACTAGAACCCGCACCTCTCGCTTTACCGGGCAGTGCGCTACAAGGCTACCGAATCATTTCATCAGAAAAAAATCTAGCGTTTGTGTTAACATATCCTCATCAGGCCCAAAATGTCTCTTCCATATCTGTGCGTCTATCTTCCACGATGATACATCACTAATGAAGATCTTATAGGCTACCCCCGTCAGAGCAGGACTCAAACCGTCAACACCTATGCCGAAGCCGACGGTATCTTTATATTTTACATAAAATGTTCATGTTGGCGCCAAAATTTCCCTAAAATGTCAAAGTTTTTGTCGACATTTCCCTCAGTCTTACTCTCATTTCGGTCTAGTACACTGAAGGTATTTTTATACGCTCTTATGAGTCAAGAGTATCAAAAATTGTGCACTCGTGAAGATCTGATCAGTTTGTTTTCAACGTATAGTCCATTTTTTTCTAGTGCCTTACAATTATTGATTGCAGCTGCAAACGGTTAGCTCGAACCTGGCTTTTTCGGAGTCACGGAAGACGTCTTTCAGAGTTGTGTTCCAGTGGTAGTGCGGTCAAATCCCACACGCCAATTCCGCAGTCCATTGTGGTAACACTTTTTCACTATACCAAACCTTTTATCCTATTACAAATTATCAAATCACTTATTAATAAATAAGTAATATTTGCAAACTGTAATAGAAAATATCTCTTCATTGTAGTCACAACGCCTCGACTGGAGTGATGACATTATTGAAGAATGTAATCTTGAGGAAGATCGTGATGAAAGCCCCGTCCTCCTCCAACAGGTTAGTGGAAAATATTAATAGCGATCGGCGTATTTCCACAATAACTGGTACTTGTGAACTTCCTAACTATTTTCTGTAGATTACAGTATCGATAACGAGCATAATTGTGGTACAATTGACGTTCTGAATTTCAGAATGACGTAGTACTTACTGAAACAGAAAATGAGGCTGAGTACTTCCAAAAAGTGAGTGGGATTTTCTAGGTGTTTATTTTATAAGCAATGATTCCTTGAATGAATTACTCTATGATTGCTGTGAATTTAGCTGATTTCGGAAGGATGTGATCTGTCTGATATTAGCGAGGAAGACGCTATTGAGTTATGCGGATCGGATGATGAGGGTGATAATTATGACGATATTAAGACGGTGAATTTGTTTGTTTTCTTCGTATTAGATACTGGCCGTAGATCAGCGACGTTTTTGGTAAGGTACATTTTTCAGGACGTAGTTATGTTGACAGAAGATTCTGGTCACTTTCAATACGCGAAGCCAGATGAAGAAGGGTTAGAGAGCACAAAGAAGTACACTTTGGAAGAAATGGAGAACCTATTCAACGAATTCAGTGAAGTACTTATTTTTTGACTCCCAGATATTTCAGTCAGTTCATTGCGATTAATTTTCCTCACTGTCGAAGGTTTGGTATCTTCTTCCTGATTACGGAATGTATAGGTTTTCTTATTAAATCCTGCCTCTAATGTGGAATACCCTCCACAATTAGAAGACGTGGTTTTTTACTGATAAGAATCTTGCATAAGACTGCCGTTTTAAAGTGTATACTGTGATTTACCTAAGTATTACATAATAGGATCTCTTTCTCAGAGACAGTACATTTTATGGAGGCGTCCATATCGTGTTTGTCGATCTCCATGCATTCTTGTGAATATGCTTGATATGAAGTGTTCATGATCGTTCGTTATTGTGATTTATACTGGTCGACTTATTTAATATTAAATTTTTGAACCATGCGTTTGCAGGTCACACTCCTTTAAATCGAGAAACGAAGCCAGGCCAGTCACCAGTGTTCGACCCTGCGGGGCGCAGTTGGTCTGGTCACTGAGCCTGACTTTTGCCGATTAGGCTGCTTTCATAGTCTGCGGTCCGTGCCGTCCGCGCCGCCCGCGCGGACGGCTCGGACAGGGTGAAAAACGTCAACACGCGCTCCGGCGCACAATGCGCACTTGGCGCGCAGTCGGCGCCTCCCTCGATCGATAATGCTGATTTCGACACATTTTTTCTGTATTTTGACGTTTTGTGCGCCGTTTTGCTTTTTCTTGCGGTTGCTTAGCCCAAAACTTTTCCTTTTTTGTATGGATTACTGCTTTTGCTCACTAATGAACCCACTTGGTGTTTATTGCTACTTTCAAACACAGTGTATGAAACTAACCATTCTAGGACAGTTGAAAAGCAGTGATTCACACAAAAAGGAAAAGGTTCTCGCGAAAAAATACGAGAAGCAACACGGCACAAGGAGCACCAGGAAAACACAAATAGAATGTGATGAAATCGCATTTATAAACTGGAAGGCGTCGACCGGCTTTTGCTTGTGTTTTTTTTGGCGAGAACATATTTTCTTTTTCATGTGAATCACTGCTTTTCAACTGTTCTGGAATGATTAGGTTCATACACTGTGTTTGAAAGTGGCAATAAGCACCAAGTGGGTTCATTAGTGAGCAAAAGCAGTAATCCATACAAAAAAGGAAAAGTTTTGGGCTAAGCAACCGCAAGAAAAAGCAAAACGGCGCACAAAACGTCAAAATACAGAAAAAATGTTTCGAAATAGCATTATCGATCGAGGGAGGCGCCGACTGCGCGCCAAGTGCGCATTGTGCGCCGGAGCGCGTGTTGACGTTTTTCACCCTGTCCGAGCCGTCCGCACGGACGGCGCGGACGGCACGGACCGCAGACTATGAAAGCAGCCTTACACTCGTCTCAAGTAGGGAAGGGTTAATGTATACTATACGAAGTTATACTTTAGACACGTTCTCTCGCGCGAACATTCACACTCGCATGCTCGAGCCGTCTGCGTCTCCGCCCATACAGCGTGCGTTGAGGATCTCTCAACGTGCCGTTGCGAACTGCGCAACGCAGGGTTGACTCTGGTCCAGCTTGCCAAGTTGAAAATGGTTGCAAGCCGTTGCACTCGTTTTGCAAGGCTGTGCTCAGCAGCTTTCCAACAATTTTCTGGCAGAGTAGGAAAAGATCCCAAATGATGGGTTATACATCACATCGATCCAATGAGTTACATCAACCTTTTTATTTTTCCTCCCTTTCGTCACAGAAGAGCACAAAGGAAGGGTAACGGTGTTGGTTTGCTTCCCGCTAGTGGCTCCTCTGAAACGAATCTAAGTTCTCCAAAATTCCCCTTGTCCCAAAAATGAATATAGTTTCCTATTTCATTCTTCTCACCGATTTTGTTGAATTTACTTGGGAAGGTTTTGCTGACACTGTGTGTCTGCTGTTGAATGCTTTGCTATTTGTTTATTATTTATATTTGCTATGTAATTGCTGGTGGAACTCCAGTTTAGGGGTGGAGGGATACAGTCACTAGTATCTTATTCATGGTACTAGATGCACTTCTTGGTGTGTGAAGCATATTTGAGAACTTACACATTACACCGGTCCTTATCAAAATTTATTATAAATGAATCGATTACGTGTCATGAAAACTTATCCTTATCCTCACTATTGGAGAGCACAGTGGAGTGCTCCCCCCCCCCCTTGGAGTTTCACCTCATTGCTAAATCGCGAACGAGAATGACTCGTAATAACTTCCCCCGTTTATAGCGCTCCCTGCCAGGCTCGGTACTGAGTCTTGATTGGTGGGTACGACGTAAGGCTGTATGCTTAGGGCTCAAACGACTCTCGATGTCCATTTCTTCCTGTGTTTAATTAGGAGATCTCAGCTATTGGGGCCTATCGAGCTTTTGTTAGAGCTTATGCTATTCCATGCTGTGCACAGGCTCTGTCGTAACCCATCCGTAGATATTACTTCCAAGAATTAAGAAGTGGTTATTCTGATGTCGCTGACAAAAAGCAGACCAGCCAATCAGAAAAAAAAACTCCTTGTTAATAAGGTGTAAGCATTACCGCTTGTTGAGTTCACAGATGAATCAGAATACTGGGCAAAGTGTTTCAAACGTTCACCCACCAGAGGCAAAGGTTCTGACGAAATATCGTAAAATGGATGCCGCGCAAATGCCCCTCTGGCAGTTGGCACAGCGCAAGGATGAATTTTAGGAAACTATAAAAGAAAAACATTTGCCACTTGAATGGAAAATTTACCACTTTTAGTGTTTCGGACATACCATCTTCTGAATCTTCCGCTTCATCAATTGTTGCAGCACAGCCTGGCAGAAAGTTTTGCAAAGTCTAAAGGCATGCCCCACGGATCTCTTTCACTGAGGGTCCTCTCTCACTGAAAGATCTCGAGCCGGTTGGTGGCGAGGCTACGTGGCGCGACCCCAGGTGGCGGATAGGGGGTAAATCGCGGACCAAAAGCCACCATGTACTTGCCCTGAGACGCAGGTGGATTCAGGGGATGG